GGGGGGTGAATTTTTTTTTTTTTTTTCTGGTTTGAGTGTTCGGGCACGTAGGCACACGTGTCCGAGTCCCAACGCGCGAATTCCGTTTTTCGGAATTCGACGCGAAGCCCCCGTTTTCGCGTTAAACGCGATTTAACGGGGGGCCAGGGGCCCGTTAAACGGAAGAACAGGCGTTGAATTTCGCCCGTTCTCCGTTCAAAAGATACACAGGGGATGAGTGCCATGGCGAACGTAGAGGCGCTGAAAAGGATGCGTGAAGTCTTGCGCAAGTCAGGATCGGTGGTCGGCGCCGTGCAAGGATGCTGGTCGCAGGGAGGACAGGGGGGGCAGTCGGGGCTACGGTGGTGGGAGAGAGATGGAGGTGGGGGCGGGGGAGGGGGGGGGGGGGGGCGGTGGTGGAGGTGGTGGTGGTGGAGGAGGAGGAGGCGGAGGAGGGGGAGCGGGAAGTAGTTGAGACGGGGCTGGAGGGGGGTTAAGCGCGACTGGCTCCATCAACAAGGGCGGCAGGGGGCCTTTGGGGGGATCCTGGCAGCGCATTGGCAGGGTGGGGGAAGGAGCGGGGGTGCAAAGCTGCGCCGTGCAAGCAGTTGGCGCGCAAGGTGGTGGCGGCAGCGCTGCATTAAACCCGAGTAGCGCTAGGCAAGCAAGAAGCGAGAGAAACAGGACGAAGGCGCATGACTGCACAGCCCCGTCAGCTTGGCGTTCACCGGCTCCCGTGTCGTTTGCCATGTCAAAGCGTTAAGCGTAGCGCCGTGCGGTGGCCTAGTTCCCAGCTAGCTGCTCATCGGGCATCGGCGATCCCAGCGTGCGTGACCAGACGCATGACTTGCTTGCGAGGTGCAAGCTATACCGGTTCTTGGGACTCCATCGGGTCGTCAACAAGGTCCAGGTCCATGAAGAAGTCCATGCTGAACGGCTGCTGCTGCTTGTCCGAGTTCTCGCTCGATCGGTCGAGGAGGCCACTTACGGAATCGCCGGCTTGACAAGAGCAATGATGATTAGCTACAGTGCCCGATCCCAGTTTTATACCCTGCTCACAGGAGGACCCTTGCTATCGCCACTCGTTTGAGAAGAATTTCGTAATACCGCCTTTCCTGCTTTTCCTGCGGCTGCGCTTGTGCCAGTTGACTCCGTACCTGGTCTGTTCCTGACTCCCTATGCCTTCGAAACCAACCCCCCATCCCCTCTCGAACCGGTTAGGTACTTGCCACACTCCTGTAGGTTCGTCGTTTGAGGCCGATATGACTGAATCTTCTCGATTTCGAAATCGCCCAGCTCTGAGTCCACTTGATGTCGACGGCTCTTTGTGAAGTGACAAGATGGGCCCGGGAGGGTGGCAAACGACAGAAGAAGCCAAAAGAACACAAGGCAAAAAAAGAAAAAAGGAAAGAAAAAAGAAAAAAGAAAAAAGAAAAAGAAAAAAGAGGGGATCAAAGAAGCAAGACGGCAATCCAGCGGCCTAGCTCAGTCGGTAAGGCACGCAAGTGGCATTTAGGAGGTCTTGGGTTCAATCCCCATTGGCCTCATGTACCTTCCTGGGCAAGCTTGGCGCCCGCCACCTAGAGATATGCCATTGGTCCCCCCGAGTGGCATTGAGCAGAGACTGCTGATGTTCATAGGGGGAGGGGACCGGAGGGGAGGCACAGTGACTGGCCCATCGAAGAAGCTCGGTCCTCATGTTACCGGCTGACCCCT